TGGAGCATCTAGGTCAAAGCAATGACCTTGCTGCTAAGGTTCCAAATTAGTTACCAAGGCGGCCGAGAGTGGTCGAGGTTGATTGGGGCGAGCACTGGCGACGGATGAGAAGGGGAGGGGAGGGGCGCGGTGAATCTGGTGTTCCTCCCCCAGGTGTAGGCAGCGGCTCGACCTCTGACACCTGCCTCGTCACCAGCTGTTGAAGACTGGTGTCTCATCCTCCTCAAAGGGGGTCATTGGCACAAGGATAACTTATTTTTTTGGGCACACATCTCTTCATCGTTGTGTTGTGGGCTGGTGCCTAGTTGGAAAGGGCTGGGCGTGTTGTGAGTGGGTCACACGGGGCAAAGGGTATCGTTGGTCACCTCTACAGACGAGGCAGTTAGTTACCAGGGGTGTGGGTGTGTGTGGGTATGTGTGGGTATGTGTGGGTATGTGTGGGTGGGTGTGTGTGTGTTGAAAATGAACCTTACGTCCTCGAAAGGTATTGGTGGTGTGATATGTTGAAGGAATTGTCTTGTGACTGTTGGTGGTAGGCAAGGGCTATTCAGGTGGCCTCGTGTGGTGACTGGTTGGTGTGTGGGGCAGGTCAATGTATGGTGTGATGTAGATGTTGTGGCGGTGATGGTGGTTGGTTGTAGGTGTGGATTACTGAAAGGTATTGAAGACATTTGTACTACACAATGAACATGCTCACAACACCCGCACAATGGTATTGTTAGTGGTGCGTACGGGCGTAGCTGGCACAGTACACACACTAGTGCTTACTTAATTGTACTTACCTAATTGTGCTTGCGGGGGTTGAGCTTTGGCTCTTTGGTCCCGCCTCTCAACTGTCAATCAACTGGTGTACAGATTCCTGAGCCTACTGGGCTCTATCATATCTACATTATAAACTGTGTATGGAGTCAGCCTCCACCACATCACTGCCTAATGCATTCCATTTATTATTATTTATTATTATTATTCCATTTATTTACTAGTGTGAGAAGGGTCGTGTTCCTGGCTGGTAATTTATCGTCGTTACATCACAGGTCACAGTCGACGAGACGGCTCGTTTATCACTATCAAGCTTAGTGCCTTACAGCCCTTGAACTACTACCTTAATGTGGTACTCAAACAGCAGAGTGCCACGGTGGGGTGGTGGTGGTCAAGGGCTGTATGGCTCTAAGGTTGGCTGCTTCACCATGCCAAACATCTCGTAGAGTTTAGATGTCTGTATACACCTCGCATCACAAAGTGCATCGCAGTTACTTTAGTTTATTGTGGACGCCAAACTGGTACTCTGGCGGTGGCAGAAAGGTTATTACGAATGAGTTCAGGTATTTGGGCCCGAGTGATCTTTAAGCAATATACATTCGTTGTGTTCTAGTTACAGTATTTTCAGACCAAGTGGTCCAGTCCCTTAGGACTGGACCAGTGGCACCAAAGGGCCTTGTATTTCTATTGGAGTCAAAGGTTGTACAGGTAATGTTAAGGTTAGATGAATGTGTGTTTTGACGGTGGTGGTGACCTCGTTCATACGGCGCCAGAGAAAATGTTAATACTGTATAGCCATAGTAGAAGTTCGTGTCCGGCAGTTTGGTACTTGTACAGTGACTATTTTTCAGTGGTTGTCTAGGCCTATGGGACAGTGGGGCAGGTGGCTGGTGAGAGCCCGTGGCGTGCCCTCACGCCGACCCTTGAGAGCTGGACGTGTGAGGTCAAGAGTATAGTGTCACATGCACATCTGTTGTGCAGGAGGACACGCTTAGGCGGAGAAAGTAGCGTGTAAATCTGAGGGAGGAGGAGGAGGAGCAGCAGCAGCAGCAGCAGCAGCAGCAGCGGTGGTGGTGGAGGTGGTGGTGGAGGACAGCTGTAGTCCGTGGTGAATCGTGGCGGGAGGCGGGCGTACCTTCCCCTTGCTCCTCACTACCCTCACCATTACTCTCCAACACTGGTCTCTCCTCCAACACATCATCTACCTCCACCCTATCCACTTTCCTCCAGACCACGACCTCTACCCAATTTTGACCCGTGTCCACTATGGATTTTACCTGAGGCTTGGGGTCATGGCAGATTATTTCACTGCAGTGGTCGGAGGCCGCGGCGACACACCACCTTGGCATGGCAAGAAATATTCCTCGCTTATTGTTTCATCTCAGGATTTTAATAATCGGATTTTTAGTTCCCAGTAGAACTAAAAATCGTGCCTGACAGTGAATGAAGACGTATTTTACACACTGGAGAGCAGCTGAAGCCACGAGGGCTTAATTGATGGCGCGGACATTTTGTCATTAGCAGGTATGCTTTATCCGGAAGGAGAGACCAGCAGCCGTTGTACAAGACTCGGGATGACGCCCACGGCGACTCCAGCGACGACGCCCGGGAGATCCTCGCTGGCCGCCCTGAAGCTGTCTGGAGTGCGTGTCGCGGCTCGAGGCCTCTACTGACACATCCAGGTGTTCCTATTAGTGGACTGTCTTAACACGTTTAAATTTGTGTCGTTTTAATTTCAACTCTGACGAGAAAACTTCCGAGTTGGAATTACAGAGGAAGGGAAGGCTTTGTGACGTAATGGGTGAGATGGCGAGGGTGGCGTCACTGGGGTGGGTGACACGACCCACAGCCTGTCCTGCCCACCTCTTCTGCAGGGCATTACAGTGCCTTACCTATCCTTCTAGCCAAGATTATAGTGCCTCGAAGCCTTAGGGAGGTAGTACACTGTCTAGTAACTGACACCAGTATTGTGATAAGTTTTCGTGACGTTTGGTGCTGTAAGAGTGATTATTGTAGGAGGTGGCGCCTGCTTGTTGTGGGGGGTGGAGTGGTGCGTCTGGTGTAGTTATGTCGTCTGGTCATGGAAGCTGCCTCTTAACGTCTTCTCCACCAACCCTCGGATAATATGAACTAAATAATCCCCATATTGATTGTGCTTCGTGGAAATTTCTCCAATGTGGGGAAAACCCAACTTTCTCAATGGCCATAACGAAGCAAAGTACCTTCGGCTTGTGATGTAATTTGCCTTAGTGTCGACGATCGTGACTGGGAATATACACACACACACACATATATATATATAAATGGTGGTAAGCCTAGACAAAACATTGAGTTTAGGACATACGGAGGTAAAACTTGGCCAGTTGCCATCACACGCAAAAACTACGTTTATTTTTCTGGAGTGTTGGGATGTGGTCCTGGGTGAAGACCTGACGCCGCCACACCCCCACCCGACGCCACACCCAACCCGACGCTTTGCTGCTGGGTCACCGCCCGGGCACGCCCACGCACTTCCCACGGGTCGCGTGCCAATCCTACACGTCTGGTCTCATTATTAGATACATTCAGTTCTACAAAATGAATCCAGACGCAGCCATTTAGTCGATTTCATTAAACTAGTTAATGATATGGAGTGAGGTGGTTAGAGGTCCCTAGTGATGTAATTCCTCTGATCATGTGCTCCAGTACGTGCCTACATCACTAGCCTCCAGACACAAGGTCGCCAAGGGCAACTGGGGCTCTTGTAATGGCATATCAATATTCGCAAGAACACAACCACTGGCTACCAAGTCGAGGTGAACGTCCCGGAAGAAGCTAAAAAGATAATTCGTGATAGACATTCCCTGAAAAGGGAATCACCGAATCTGAAACACACTACCCAGGGGTGATTTTTTTGTACTTAATTTATGTTAGTTAATGTGAGGGTAACATTGTAGAGGCTGTAATAGTTTGATGTATAAAGTAGTTGGTAAGGCGCCACACTCTGGCACTCACAATTTCTCGCTTTCCTGTAAGTTGTCTCTGAAAACATCTACCCTATAACCCTATCAAGCAAGTTGGAAAGTTATTCTAAATCCTTTCTATTGTGGTGATAAATGGCAGGTGTGGACAACTGCCAGTAACTTTATAACGCTGCACAAATACCTCGTAAAATCCATAGCTTCGGAGTAGCGATAATGCATTTTGATGTGGACGACTGTTGGCATTGTTGAGAGCTGGTCACCGCCCGTCACCGCGTCGGTCGTCCTCAGACCAAGCAAACATTAAGGAAGTGTTCCTTAAAGAGCTTGCTTTTATTTTTGTGTTTTTAAAAGTATTGAGGTAAGCGTGGCGAGGTGACAAGAGGCGGTAGGAGCCGGGGAGAGGTAGGGTGAGGATGAGTGGGGAGGGGGAGAAGGAGAAGCGGGGAGTGTGGCGCCTGTGGGCGTGGGGGCGGAAGGGACGCCGCAGGTACACCCTGAGGGACGCCCAGTCAGAGGAGGATGTGTGTTTGTACAAGGACCCCGCACCTGTCCTTAAGAAAGCCTTCACTTCAGACGACCATCTGCTGGTCCACGACCACACCCGCCCTCACGCCCACTCCGAAGATGACGATAGCGAAGATACCACCCGTACCGAGTCCTTTTGGGAGTCGCTCACCTGGAGGGGCGACAGTCACGACTCTGAGGACCTCTCTAGCGACAAAGTCAACACAGAGAGTGAAACAGAGAACACGGAAAGTGAGGCTGAAGATGCCAAGAAAGATGGCAGTACGGTTCAGACTATCGTAGAGCGGCTGAGGGCGTGCGGGGTGGGGCAGGGGCGCGGCGGGGACCTGCAGTGGCCCAACATAGACACGTGGACTTCGCACGACCTCAGACAGTTCCTCATTAACAAAGCACAGCTCGAGCTGGGGGGGCCATATGACAGCGATAGTATTAATAGTATTGAAATGAAATCCTATGACCCAAGTAACTGCAACGTTGCTAACAGTCAAGTGCCCCCGGCACCAGCCATCCCCACCTCTCCCGGGGCCACACCTCGCCCCGTCCTCCGCAGGCCTCGAGGGCGAGGTAGTATGGTAGCGGCCGCCCTCCTGAGGCGGGGCGGGAGGGCGCGCAAAGGTCCCCAGCGTAACTCGCTACAGCTGGAACATACGAGGCGGGAGACTTCGCCTCCGCCTCCACGACCTCGCTTGTGGTCACTGCCAGCCATCATCGTCACCACCTCGGATGACCCCACTAAGACACCTTCCCCGCCAGGTTACAGCAACAGCCTCTCGGACAGCATGAACTACCTGACAGTGCCCACCGCGCACGTGCTCCGCTCTCGTCATGACACTGACACGCAGAGTGAGCCGTGTGCCTCGCTGGAACCTGTTCTTCCGTGCGAGAACACTGACGAGAAGACCGTGACCGGGGGCCTGGCCAGCGCCACCAACCTGGGCTCCCTTATGAACCTGTGGCCTGGCAACTGGGAGTACCAAGACGATAGGGAGACTGACGACGGAAGGCCCTTCCCTTCGGGGTCGCCGCCGCCAGACCCGAGACCGCAGGCAGCCCCGGAATATCTCCTGTACGAGGAATCATTTGTAAGTGTTGCCATGTTATCCTCTATCATGCTTCCTATTGCTCCCATATACGTTTGTTAGGAATTATTACTTTGCACTTCTTTGTATAATTAATGTATTATAAACTGCAATTTCCACTTAATATAACGTAGGTTCCATGTTCTGTTTCACGCAGCAAGAGGTAAAGTTGACCAGTTAATTACTAGCAACCCTCCCACAGGTACAATATTGTAGGCGTGGCATGCCGCCCACCCATCTGTCAACACTGCCTGGTATGCTAGTGCCCAGTTCCCATGATGCCTAGCCTCCTACCTTTTTGTTCATGTACTTTATACCCCTCTCTCCATTTGTGTTCATAGCGTGTAGGCAGTGATGAACCTGTGGGAGCAGCAGCACACGTAGTAGCAGTAGCGGTATTAGCAGCAACAGATGGTGGCAGCTTCTTGCATGTTACCGTGGTTTGTTGTGCTTCACCTGTTTTCAGTAGTGACCAGTGGCTAGTGGATAGTTAAGTAGCATCACTGGTGGTCCATGTTCACCTCCAGCAGGTTCATCCACCACCGCCTTAGGTGTGCTATTTTTTACGCTTAGTCGTAGAGAGGAGTATAGGTGTAGGCTGGCTGCTCCACTTCCTCACTCCGGCCTGCGTGTGATAGGCTGCCCCATTGCCCTATCTAATAAATTGTGTGGTGTGCTCCGGCCTGTAGCCAACGAATAAATACCAACCTCAAAAGTGGTTTCACAAGGTCACTGTTTGCGGGTTAAAGTCGTGTGCAACTAAATAAAATTATAATTAGACCCGCGAATGCGTCAGAAAAAGTATTAAATTAACCACAAATTAAGTGAACTATTTGCTGCGCTGTTGAAATGTGTAAATTTTGTCATCCTGCTCAGTCTAATGGCAGACTTGACGCGACTCAATGATCAACGAAATTAAAGGAATTAGCGATTCTAACTTCGTGACCGAGTCTTTAATATAATACAAGAGGGCACTTACTAAAACAGCTTCTAAAGTGATGATTAATGTTCCTTTCTTCACGTGGTTCAATAATGTGTTACCTACTGAAGTTACTTTTTAATTTTCCACCAATCATATAAAATGAATCTTGATTTAAAATCAAATGAATCTTGCCTCCTGACTATCGCAACCAGGGATGATTAACTATAACATGGAGATAATGCACAAATATGAAGGAAGCGAATAAGGGAAGATCATAAGAGAGAATTTGGAGAGGGAAGTAGTGTATTCACCTAGTTGTGCTTGCGGGGATCGAGTTCTACTCTTTCGGCCCGCCTCTCAACTGTCAATCAACTATTACTAACTACTATTTTAAAGGCACAGTAGAGGGAGAACTGACCACAGAGGAAGTGGACATGATCAGAAGGTACACGGTAAGAACAGGTTACGCTAAATAAAGTATACTACGATAACAAGGCACCATGAAGCATTTGCATATAACTAGGTCAAAGAACAACGGGGTTAAGCGTGCACATAAATTTTTCAAACGCATATAGGAGCACTAATGTAATTAACTTAGTGGTATACAACGCGCCAATGTTGAGTTATTGATTTTTTTATTATGCACCCCATACCCATCCATCCCTTCGACGGGGGTGAAAAGAGCCACCAATGTCCATCCCAAAGAGGCCACTGAGCTGTACTGACAGCAGTTACCTACCTGGAGGCAAACTTGACTAAAAGATATCTGAATCTGAACCTCTCTTGAGCTCTCTATGCTTCTTTAAATGTTTAAAGTTCAACAAGAATAACTTTTGTCTAATTAATGCTGTTGTTTGCATATAGGCCCTTAATAGTGTTGCTTAACTGTTTCCTATACACTTTCTTGTCGATGTTAAATGACTAGAAATAGTAAATAACACCATCTCTAATATTATATCGTTATTCAACACTGATACAATACTCTAGGCTATCTAATGGACTACAGTTATTAAAGAAAATGGTGGTGTTCATTCCCGCTTGTGAAATAGTGAAGTTATAATTTAATATTTACTAAGCCCAATATTACGTCAATGAATAATTTGCCATTTCTTATCTCAAATTGAGAGAGCAATTGCAAATTGATCGCCATTGATTTGGCATCAGTTCTCAAATTAAATCGTAGTTGCGCGTTTTACGAAGCACAAACGCGCGCCATTATTTTTTTTTACCAGCCACATCAGCTACCATGATAATGTAGCTGGCTCCGCTCTGGGCCATGGTGTCGCTTTGAGATATTCAAAACATTTGTGAAGATGACTTGGAAAAGTATCACTACTGAAAACCTCTAGCTTTTTCTCAACACTAAAACTTCCGACTAAGTGTTAGAAATGCAATCATCTATCGTATATGGCAATATGCTGTCTATTTAAATTTTGAGTATACACGACCTCAAAGCAAATGGAGATCAATAGTCATGTCTGGAACAGGTGTGTGTCCGGGATTTGTCCTTGGGACTGACGTGTTAATCCTTATCATCGCATTTTTTCTTTATATGGTATATTATTTAATAAAGATCATATATACATAAATTTATTAGGGAAAATATACGCGCACTGAAAGGTGGCAAGCAGGAGTTAACCCCTACACGGTACCCTAACTAAAACATCTTCTGCTATTAACAACCAGGCCTCTTAAAACAGGAAGAAATAGTATTTGCTTTAAATTACCTTTTCAATGTCGTGAATATATTATTATAAGAGATGCTCACCCCCCCCCCCCGTCTTACGCATAAACAGTCACCCAAGATTTGGCATTTTTAGTCTAACCTTTTTTTAGTAATCAAATTTAGTATTTTATTGACTTTTTTAATATCCAAATTATGCCTAATTTCTGCTAAATAAAATGGCTTTCTCTTTCCAAATTAGATATTTTTATAGATGTTTTTTCTTTAAAATACTTAATTATACTTAAGTATAATATACTATTAGTATATTTAATAAAATACTTAATTCTAGCCTTTTACACTGGACAGCCGCTATGTAATTTACTTGTTTACTCTTGCTAAATAACTGGTACTCACAGTACTGCCCGCATTATAATATAATTAAAAAATCACCTAATAAATAACCCTTACTGGCATATTAAAGTGTAGAAATAGTAAAACTATTGAGTTAATAGGGTTAGCTTCATGTAAAGTTGGGGGGAGGCGGGAGTGGAACCCCTGGAGGCTGGTAGCCTAGTAGAGACGAGTCATAAGCGGTCTTCGGTATGATGCTGGAATTGCCTTACCCAGGTGCGGGATCACTGGCTCTGATTAAATCCTCACGCTCATATCCTGGACCACCTGTTACTGGCGCCTCCTGAAGGTTGTAGTTGGGCGTGTTGATGGTCAGCGTCTGCAAATAGCCTCGTCAGTTTGGTGCCAAATGTTCATTGAAACATTTTCAGTTCTGTCCACCATATGCATACGATACTTTGTTGTGGAGATTCCCGTATTGTTGACCAAACCACACACTAGAAAGTGAAGGGACGACGACGTTTCGGTCCGTCTTGGACCATTCTCAAGCCGATTGTGGTCCAGGACGGACCGAAACGTCGTCGTCCCTTCACTTTTTAGTGTGTGGTTTGGTCAACATTTCAGCCACGCTATTGTGATCCTCGTCTGCATTCCCGTATTGCTTGTGGTGTCAAATTAGCAACCAGCCTGTCCTCAGGGTCGCCTGCCCACAAACAAGGGCCAAATGCCCGTAATGCAGCCACCAATCCTCCCTGTTCATGCATGAGAAAACTACTCTTGCCTTTGCAGCTGATTGTGTTCGAACTTTTGTTAAATAGTGCCTCCTCTCAAGTGTTCAAGTCTATTTAAACGCTCCACGTGTCTTGAAGAAAAGTAATTGTCAACACTATTAAGACTACTCAATAGCTCGGTCGATAGGGCTTCGTTGGGGTCCGTGGTTCGAGTCTGCTAGCCCCCAGGTGAATGGGACTGAGGATGGGATGTGGTGTAAGGCAACTCTTAGATAATGTGTGTAGGGGACGGGGGTGTAAAACGGGAGTGCCGGCATGGTTGGTGGCCGGCATGGTTGGTGGCCGGCATGGTTGGTGGCCGGCATGGTTGGTGGCCGGCATGGTTGGTGGCCGGCATGGTTGGTGGCCGGCTTGGTTGGTGGCCGGCTTGGTTGGTGGCCGGCTTGGTTGGTGGTGGCCGGCTTGGTTGGTGGCCGGCTTGGTTGGTGGCCGGCTTGGTTGGTGGCCGGCTTGGTTGGTGGCCGGCATGGTTGGTGGCCGGCATGGTTGGTGGCCGGCATGGTTGGTGGCCGGCATGGTTGGTGGCCGGCATGGTTGGTGGCCGGCATGGTTGGTGGCCGGCATGGTTGGTGGCCGGCATGGTTGGTGGCCGGCTTGGTTGGTGGCCGGCATGGTTGGTGGCCGGCATGGTTGGTGGCCGGCATGGTTGGTGGCCAGCTTGGTTGGTGGCCAGCTTGGTTGGTGGCCAGCATGGTTGGTGGCCAGCATGGTTGGTGGCCAGCTTGAATATGGTAACAGCAGTGCTGTTTTTGCCATTATTAAAACAAATATTTTGATAATTGTTATAAATAACATGGGGGGGGGACTGTTCTAGTTATTAACAAGCTGTGCTAAATTTGTCTGGTAGCAATCTAGTTGGGGTGATAGTTGACAGCTATTGTGCTAATGCTTTATAAGCATTGTAAAGCTGTGTGTGTGTGTGTGTGTGTGTGTGTGTGTGTGTAGGCTGCGATTAAGAGAGGGAAGACATTCAATTAATATATAAACTTTTGTCCGTTTTACGGTCAGACAAACACACACACACACACACACACACACACACACACACACACACACACACACACACACACACACACACACACACTCTCACACTGATCATATTACCGTGTTTACCGTTATATTATCCGGATACACCAATGTATTAAATGTATGCGTGTGGGGGGCAGCAACTAGTGATGGCCGTATAGGCTACACGTTAATATACGCCTTTATCATCTCCGTATATTATCATCATTTTTCCGCGTGACATGTTCATAATAACTGCACTCTCTTCATACTTGAATGTTACTGTTGTAAATAATTTTAGTGTAGCATCGACTTCAACCAAACAAGGTGAAGATTAGACGTGTACATAAGTCTGAAGTTGATCTTTAGTATCATAGCAGAGTAATCTTCCAAGTTGAATGGGGACGGTAGACGTTTTAGTGTGTGTATTGACTGAAGTTGTGTGTTCCTACAGATGTATGGGCGGTACTCGGCCAATTTGGCAGAGTACGCGCGCCAGGAAGCCCGACGACTCCGTGATGACGACCACCACAAGGACGAGGTCCTCTTCTCTAAAGAACTCCAGCCTTACAGAGGAAGAGTCGCCAGAACCTGCATATCCTTCATCAGGTCAGTGGCGCACTTGTAATATTTCTCCCGTGTTTTCAGTGCATTATTTTACCAAATGAATAGTACCCAACGGGAACATTGATGGCGGCAACGATCCATTTTTGTTGTACGTTCGACTAAATTGTTGCTGAAGCTTGCTCGAAACGCTATGCGTATTAGTGGCTTTGGGTATTGTATGTACGAGCTCTATACATCCAACATTGTCTGTAACTCTGCATTTATGTATGTACTTTTGCTGAATAAATATTATTATTATAAATACATTTTAGGAGGGTGGGGCGCCACAGTAACAATTAAGAGCGACTTGTGTCGCCTCATGCAGGTCGGCTGTCAATCCTTGATCGTCCAAGTGGTTGGGCACCATTCCTTTCCCACCGTCCGGTCCTTATTCTCACTATTTCCAAGTGCAATACAATGTCTATGTGTATATTAACACGTTGTACTGAACGGGGTGAGAATAGCTTGAGCTACCTCATCCCTTTGTGTGTATTTTACCTCAATAAACTTATTTCAATTTCAATATAGTCGTAATGACTTGGCACATTCTCCTGATACTTCCCTCTCCGTCCCTTACCAGCCTGGCCAGGGCAGGAATCCTGGGTCGTTATTACTGGAGAGGGACCATCATCATCCTCCCCCCCCCCAAACAAAAAGAGGGGGGGGGGAATCTTGAGATGATTTCGGGGCTTAAAGTCCCCGCGGCCCGGTCCTCGACCTGGCCTCCGTTTTGTTGCACACCCCCAGGAAGCAGCCCGTAGCAGCTGTCTAACTCCCAGGTGCCTATTTACTGCTAAGTAACTGGGGCATCAGGGTGAAAGAAACTCTGCCCATTTGTTTCTGCCTTCACCGGGGGATCGAACCCGGAACCTGAGGACTACTAATCCGAAGCGCTGTCCACTCAGCTGTCAGGCCCCGTTGTTAATATTTGGCCCAGCAGATATTACACGATGGCCTGGTGTTGGCCGCCAGTGACCAACATGCTCGGTAAAGCCTCGTCAACCCACCACCTGTTTCATCCTGGAAAATAAAGCTGCCTCACCCTGTTAATCTAACCTAATTAAATTAACTTGAACCTATTTACCTCACTTATTGACTTCTCCCCCCCCCACCTCTCTCTTCCTCCCCCCCCCCCCACTCTCTCCTTCCCCCCTCTCCTCTTCCTTCCCTCGTCCTCCCCATCCCCCCCCTCTCTCTCTCTCTCTCCCTCTCTCTTGCTTCCCCCTCCTCTCTCCCCCTCTCTCTTGCTTCCCCCCTCCTCTCTTGCTTCCCCCTCCTCTCTCCCCCCCCTCCTCTCTCCCTTCCCTCCCTCCTCTCTCCCTTCCCCCCCCTCCTCTCTCCCTTCCCTCCCTCCCTCTCTCCCTTCCCTCCCTCCTCTCTCCCTTCCCCTCCTCTCTCCCCCACCTTCCTCCCCTCCTCTCTCCCTTCCCCCTCTCTCTCCCCCACCTTCCCCCCCCCCTCCTCTCTCTCTCCCTCCCCCCCCCCTCTCTCTCTTCTCTCCCTCTCCTTTTCCTCTTGCGTACAAATATTTGAAAGTAGCATAGTAATTACCGCTCCAAACTTTGTTTCCATAGAACTTTTTTAATATTAGTCCAAGATATGTTTAATATGGGCAGCAGGCACGAGATGTAACCTGTGAGGGTTACGGGGAAGAGATCCATCGCTCTATACCCCGTCTCCTGACCGTTTATATCTGGCGCGTTAAATACCACTCATTATTAACGTTCATAATTGGCTTCAATGCAACAGTTTCGTCAATGCCTTCCACGCAATGAGAACTTCCTTACATCTCTACGACTCGATTGCGTGTTCAGCTTTTAACTAATGTTCCCCTTGTTCTATCGCCTTTTAATTTAAATAGGCTTCCTTTGTCCATTTTGTCTATTCCCCCTAAGGATCTTGTATGTAGTGATCATGTACATTTTCTTCCCGCCTCTAAGGTTGAGGGGGGACTTACCTCGCCCTGTCCTCGTTGCTGATCCTTCTCAATTCTGGTACTAATCTTTCATTACTTTCATTAATAGTAGGTATAGGTACTATAAGGTTGTGGGTGACAGGTTGCCATAACAATAACCTTGACTCGGACGACCTGTCAGCGTTTCCAAGCTGGTAAACTATTTTACAATTCAGACTAAACCACCTTGAACGACCCGTTCTCGCAAATTTAATAAGTCAATATTGACTTATTAAATATGTGCATAGGTGACATACTTAACATAATAGTTTCCCTTGAAAAGCTTCATAGAAAACACCGACCTTACCTAACCTACTTAGTATGTTAAGATAAGCATCTTATTGCTTCGTAATTACAATTATTACCTAACCTATAATAGGTATAGGTTAAGTAATAATTGTAATTACGAAGCAATAAGATGCTTATCTTAAGATACTAACAAGGTTAGGTAAGGTTGGTGTTTTCTATGAATCTTTTTAAGGGTATCTATTATGTTTAGTATATCACCTATGCACGTAGTTAATAAGTCAATATTGACTTTACGAATTTGCGAGAACGGGTTGCCTTGAACGAGGAGAGATGAACAGGTTTCGTTAGTGGACACGTAGCTACTTGATCAATTAATTTTTTTTATAAAGATTTTTCTCAAGTTTGAGTTATAACGTACCCTCTCTAATGGCGCCCAACCACTTGGGCTGGACGGTAGAGCAACGGTCTCGCGTCATGCAGGTCAGCGTTCAATTCCCGACCGTCAAAGTGGTTAGACGCCATTCCTCCCACCCGTCCCATCCCAAATCCTTACCCTGACCTCTTCAGAGTGCTATATAGTCGCAATGGCTCAGCGCTTTCTTCCCACAAGTTACAGCCTCGCTCCTGTGCCAGGTAAGTCCACTACGGGCTCACCATAGCCCGTGCTATTTGGAACTTTTTGTTCCCAGTAGCGGAATCTTTCACAACAACGCTTTCTCCTGACAGTTCCCTTCCCTAATGGTTACAGACACTTGATAGTCTCAAATTATTATGCAACATTTTCGTAGTTAAGGATTACGTGCTTAGACAACCCGCAGAACAATTGTTTGTTCAATTGTTTAAAATTCATATTGAAGTTCAGACAGAAGTGTGTGTGTGTGTGTGTGTGTGTGTGTGTGTGTGTGTGTGTGTGTGTGTGTGTGTGTGTGTTTTTCTATGGATGACCAACCGGGCTGTGGTGGATACGTGGGCCTGCGGGCCACTCCAAGCAACATCCTAGTGAACCAAGCTATCACACATCAAGCCTGGCCTCGGGCCGGGCTTGAGGGGAAAAAGGAAAGTTTATGAATATTATACTTAACACGGAATCCTTAAATGCCGCGTTCAGCGAGCAATGTTAAGCACTTGGCGGTTTTAAAAACTGATTACATTATAATTTTACGCACGAGGGTGGTGTTTTTGTCGGTACAAGGAAAACGTATCTAGAATAATAATGAACCGGAAAACCAGACGTTGTGTTCTGAATAGGCTGCAAGAATATTTGCTGGCGTCAATTTGTCGATTTCAGCCCAGGAGGCTGTTGGCGGTTAATTAAGGCTGGTCACCCACTACGCCTGAGGCTAGATAACTGCGACACTAAAGATAACCGATAACTTCACCCACTGGGTCCAGCATCCCGTCCTCTCAAATAATCGCCTAATTTTGTACGCTATGGTCCCCAACGTACAAAATACAGGGTTACAATGGTCCCAAGCATTCAAATAGGGGTACAATGGTCTTAAGCGTACATAATAGGGGGTACAATGGTCCCAATCATATAAAATAGGGGGTACAATGGTCCCAATCATACAAAATAGGGATACAATGGTCCCAAGCGTACATTATAGGGGTTACAATGGTCCCAAGCGTACATTATAGGGGTTACAATGGTCCAAAGCGTACCAAATAGGGGGTACAATGGTCCCAAGCATACAAAATAGGGGGTACAATGGTCCCAAGCGTAGCGAATAAGGAGTAGCTGCTCAGAAATATTCACGTTTTAATATGTAGGTTGGCTAGGTGGGTGAGCTACCAGTCCTCCCGAATGGTAGGTCGCATTTTGACATAAATCACCCGAGGCCAAAAACTGATGCACTAAAAATCTTGGCTGCTCGCAAAATTGATGTGATGTCCCGTTTTCTATTCGTGGGTCCTCGGTTAACTTTGACTCGGGCAAATTTAGTGATTCCTGGGACCAGGTTCACGAAGCACTTACGAACCTGTCCATCTTTTCTCAATCTTTGGCGGCTTTGTTTACAATTATTAAACAGTTAATGAGCTCCAAAGCACCAGGAGGCTTTTTATAACAATAACAACAGTTGATTGGGAAGTTCTTATGCTTGTAAACTGTTTAATAAATGTAACCAAAGTCGTCAAAGATTGAGGAAAGATGTACACGTTCGTAAGTACTTGCGTAACTGCTTCGTGAATCTGGTCCTAGTTTAGTGACGATGTGAACGTCAAAAGGACGGGCTGGGGTGAGTGGCATGGATTTGAGTGTTTTAGTTCCCCTTATTTTGTATGGTGACACCTGGATTGTACCTGGATGGGTTTCTGGGAATTCTCCCGAAGCCCGGCCCGAAGCCAGGCTTGATATGAAAGCTTGGTCCAACAGGCTGTTGCTGAGAGCGACCCTCAGGCCCACGTATCCAATACATACAGCCTGGTTGATCTGACACTTCTTGAATAAAACTGTTTTCTCTTGATTTCTACGTTCGGACAATATTTCTACATTCCGACAATATTTCTTATACTCGCTGACTAGAGGAATGTTGAACAACCATGGATCTCTGATGTTCAGTGTTCTCTGATTGTGCTTATGGGACCAGGCGCTCTTCTGCATTTCCTACCATAACTTTCACTCCAGTATGTTATTTTACTGTGAAAATTTGGGACCTGGCCGTCCAGTATTTTCCTTGTATATATTATTTGGTTATCCTCTCGTCTGCTTTCTCAAGAGTACACTGGGAGAGATTTGAGACAGAGAAGTTAGATTTTAGTTTAGTTCATTTATTATGCACCTCATACGCATCTTGTGAAG